ACCGACATTTCACATGGCGCAGTCAGCAGGTCCAAGTGATGGAAGAAGTCATTGGCCATAACTACATTCTGGCCATCGAAATGCAGTGAGAAGCCTATGCTGTGGGAATTTTGATATACACATTTTCAATGGGGGATGGTCGCCAAACACGAAAAAAACCCTTAAAACTTCTATTTCGATGGATCACTTAGGCGGCTCAAATAACGGCCTTACCAGACGAGGTGGATGGCAAGAACCGATTGACATGTGAGAAAACGTTGATTTCAAATCTATACCTGTTGCTCAGGGCGACACGATACCCCGAGTAGACGAGGCACTAGAAGCGGAATTTAAGAAGGAGCGGAATGAAACTTATGAAACTTTCCAGTTACGGTCGAGGAAGCAACAATTAGCGAGGCGCTCGAGCAATTTTACCCGGTGCTCAACTGGTTGGCATCGAGGTGCATTTTTGGCACATTGGAAGACCGGATATTGGGGGACGTTCTCATTGTCAGTATGAATAATCGGGAAGCCCAGAACTAACTTTGCCGATCAACGAAGAGGAACTTTGTCGGCACCATCGGGAGGTGGTATACGAATCAAAGAGGAACCAGTTGGAATTATCCGAGGAGGATACCGGAGCTCTCGTCCCCGGGGAAGGGGATCGTACCCCAGGCGCAGGTTCGCAAGAGGAGGAGGACTGAAGCAGACAAGCAGGAAGTGTTACAACTGTGACCAACCACGATTTACCCCGGATCACATGACCAAGTGCCCAGCAAAGAATGTTACTTGCAATTATTGCATGAAAATTGGACACTATGAACGTACCTGCTGGGGAAAATAAGCAAGTAAAAGGGGACGAGAAGCAGTCAATCTCATTCAAGAACAGGACGATGGACCACTGGATTATGCCGATACACCGCAAGACGGCTCAACACAACACGGAATTTCGGTTGGCTGGGTAAATCAGCTCGCGGTGCCAGCACATTCACATTCTTGGGATTCGGATAGTTCTGGCGACTACTTGGTAATGGCAATTCGATCCAAAATGTCACTGAACTCAAGGTCGCGGGGGTGCAATTGTTTTTGAACATTAATGGAAAGACCACACGTGTATGAATAGACAGCGGATCACCCATCGCAATTTTCATCTTTGGCCTTTCAGGAGCACCCTGGGTGCACAAAATGTCAAGTAGGAGAATCTGACAGTAACAAGTTCCGCGACTACGGAAATAACCCGCTTAAGATAATCGAGCGATGAACGTGCAACTTGAACCGAATGGATGGAAAACAGCGGCCAGAATAAAGATGATAGGACGCAACAGACTATCGATCATTGGAGGGGACCTAATGGAGACTTAAGGACTAAAATTGGTGCAACAACAACCAGAGGGCATGGTGATGGTGATAGACCAGGATGCGACCGGGGGCCCAGAGATTCAACTAAGCCCGCGGCAGGAATATTTCAGTAAGCAACTTAGAAACCTCCTTTGCAGGGTAGGAAAGATTAGCAACTATAAAGCACTGGCAGATTTTTTGAGAGCTTTACTCCGGTGTAACAAAAAGGACGGTGGGTCCCAATCCCTTTGGAAGAAAAGATGGATAGGGAGATTACAAAATTACTGAAAAATTGGACGAATGTTCGGATAATTACTTTGTTTCACCGATCGTTATCACGGTCAGAAAGGACGGGTCGGTTAAATTAGCACTGGAAGCGAATTGAACAAACAAGTCCATAAAAACGAATATCAGATGTCAATTAAAGAGGAGTTAATTGACACCGTCTGACAAACCATCAGTGAAGGAAAGCCGGTGGAGATTTTTTTCACAAATGGATTTGACGTACGCGTATAAGCAATTTCCCTTAAGTGCGGATGCGAGCATTCAACGCAAGTTTTCACTAATCGGAAGAAAATTGACCGGTACGCACCGTTTCAAGTCCGGGTTCTACGACCTTACAACGACGCTGGCGGAGTTTCAACGAATAATGGATAGCAATCTGTCGGAATTTCCTCAGGCTCACTCGTTCATCGATGATAAACAAAAGGCTCAGAAATTGATCATATAGCGACCGTAGAGAAGCCCCTACGGAAATTAGACAAAGAAAACCTGTCGCTAAAGCTGACAAAATGTAAATTTGCCCAAAAGAGCTGTGAATGGCTCGATCATAAGGTTACACTGACGGGCATCACACCGTTGGAGCGAAAAACCAAACCTATCGAAATGCTAAGCCTCAGTGAGCGTTATCGCAGCTGAAATTATTTATGGGCTCCATAAACAGCTTACACAAGTCTTTGCCCGTGCTTGCTGAGACCTTCGCCCCACTGCGCTCACTACTAAGTCGAAAAAATGATAATATATGGACAACGGAATTCCTTACCTTCGGCATACGTCGGCGAAACTATTCCTCCGGTTGATCCTAATAATCTGATTATGTCGTAGTAGCGTTGGCCGTCGGCTATGATGTGCGGAAATAATAGATCGGATAAAATATTGAAATTCTGAAAAGATTACATAGTAACCCATGGTGTGCCTGGAAGGACTCATATAGATCAGGGAACGAACTTTACATCAAACTATGTTAAAACGTTTTGTAACACTGAGAGAATCGAAATTAGAAAATCACCTGTAAATGATCATTGCGCTACTGGATGTGTGGAAAGGACAATAGGTAGTTTTAACAACTCTATTCTCACGTACGCGAAGAAGAAAAATCCCGGGGAACATGGTTGAAGGAGCCTTCGGTGCGCTTCGCATTTCAGTTAACGCCACTACAAAACTAACGCCATTTGAGGCCCATCATCGACGCGAGGCAGATACTGTTCAGGAAATCTCACATAGAAACCTTCGTTTCAACATTTGAATTGATGGAAAGCACCAAAAGAGAAATCTGCATGTTCAGATAGTAACGATCTGGCGGGGAATGATTTACCCCACCCGGCAGACACCAACTGGGGTGTGCGCTCGGACTTGGTGTATGACCCGAAGAGCCGGAACCACCCGTGAAGGCTCACGGAGGAGCTGCCATCATTTCCGAACCATCGTTTCGGAAATCGGACTATGTGGACCAGAAGCCAGGCAATTCAAGTCATTTTTATCAGCGCACTGGAGATCGGAATCTCCAAAGGTATAGAAAAAAATTAATTCAAAGGTGAAAGCAACGAGCGCATATACAATTACTCTAAACAATGGCGTTGTTCTTAGGAAGTCGGCGGTGGCAATCTCAAAAAATTCAAAAAAGGTTTCAGCTATATTTCCTCAGCCGCCTACACCGGAAACAATTACTTATCAACAACCATTATCGGAGCCAAAGAAGCCAAGGACTCTCAATCAAACCACTACAAGCCGACAATTCAAATCGATTGGCGAATCAGACAGCGAAAACGAAAGCCAAAACATCGCGCTCTCAATCAAGCGAACGTTTATCAGGCACAGTTAATTTGAAGAATCGGAACGAGAGCCCTCTGGACCCCTGACGCAACGCAAACCATTGGCACTGGCTTCGTCTGAATTGGTGGAAGTATAGACACCTCAACCAACGGCAACAACCCAGATCGGAATCCAGGAACCAGAAACAGCAGCACCAGCGACAGGCGTAGCGGAAAAAGTGGCGAATACTTCGCAACCGACTGAAACTAAAAAATGTGTACGCAAACAACGACTGGTGTCGTACAGTAGCAACGACTCGAACGACAGTCAAGAAACAACGGCGTCCCAAAAAAGTGGGCGTAAGCGAACGGCGGTCAGGAGGATGGGAGAGGTGATGATAGACCATCTTTGTAAAAAAATCGACCAAGGAAAAGAGTAAAATAGAAACTTATACTGTCCAAAAACTTTATCGAAGTTCAGGGAGAGGGATGGTTTTTTTAAAGGTCTTCCTAAAACTCAAATTCTTTCATCGCCTGCGGCGGTATTTTGGTTTGTGAAAACTCCAGCTGCAGCAATAGTTAATATCATTTCAATTGAGTACTTCAAAAATAACTATCAGTTAAATTTAATTATTTGCATTTTTCAGTCAAGAAAACTTTACAATTTTCCAATTTTTAGAGAGAGGGAATGTCATATAGTGCTATTTCAATCCGTTTCATTTCATCATCTCTTAACTACTCTTACTGTCAATCATGTGTCACTCTATCGGTGCTAATTAAATACCTGCAGATACCGGCCAACGGCGTGTCTGTCACCTTTGGTGTGACCTCTAGCTCTCACTCTTGTGCTATTCTTTGGAAGAGATTAAGTTAGTTTTATTTTGATTTGGATTCCGGAGTTTACTATTGTCGAACCGCCTTTTTACAAAGACTCAAAACAAAAGTTGCAATAGATTCAGGCAGGGGCGGATCTAGTCTTTTCTCGAGAGGGAGGAGGGTGGCGGATTTCGAAAACAACTTGGAATGTTTTTGTCAAACGTTTTTTTATGTCGACCAAATTGATTTTCGGAGGTCTGCCAAAGCCCCTAAAAGACCCTGTTTTGGCCAATTTTTGTGCGTCGCAGGCAAATTTTCCATAAAAAAAAACAGGCCAAAAACGGCTTTTTTGTGCTTTTCGAAAAATGTTCACAAAAAATTGTGTTTTTTTTTTGGCGCGCGCTACCCCCTCAAAATGAGTATATTTTGGCACCGAAGGCGCCTTTAGAAAAATTTTAGATTCCGTCACTAAAAATGGATATCTATAAACAGTACAAAGGAGGAGACACTTTGGGTTGGCAAGGGGTCGCATCCCTGAGAAAGGAGGTGGCCGCCCCTCCCCCCCTAATTCCGCCCGTATATTCAGATATGGAGTAGAGTCTTATCAACTCTTCGATGTAACATAGACGATCAAACAGCAAAACGGTGAATAATTTCACTTATCACTGAAAGAAATTTTTTTTCTAAACCGATTTACGACTGACTGAACGGACTTTAATATGATATCACACTAATCGCCCTACCAGTTTTTTTTGGTTTAGCAAGCAGGTCAAACAGCTCAACCCTGGAAAGGAGCTCATGGAAAATTTATTTAACTCAACTATTTTTCTGTTCTAGATGGGGGTGTCTAAATGGTTGTCGTGGCTGAGAGTGAGCAAACTACTCTTAGCCTATCTCTCCTTCCTCCTTCTCTTCTCATTCTTCTTCATCTACTTTCTTATGTGCAGCCAGGTAGCTCACTTTTCAATCTCTCAACTATTAGCAAAGGGGGATCTCTTTGCAAATCGGAGTGGGGGGGGGCGAGATTCTTTACTAAGTACAAATTTCAGATATGCTTAAAGGTTGAATTATTTCCTTACAGGGTGACAATTACTTAGAAGGTACCAAAAGGGGGGCTAGTTTAATGAGATCTATTATTTCTTGTTGTCAAATTCATCAATATTTTTCTTGTTCTTTTTTGTCAAATAGTGCCTATTGATTAAAACGGACTGTTTTCATCAAGTATTTTTTATTTGGAAATTACAGTGGTGTACTTTAGGATTAGGTTTAACATTAATCGAGTTTCAGATTATCAATGTCGAGGGGTTTTGTAGGCGTTTTTAGTTCGAGCTAAATTCTTTTGTAAGCTTTTGTAAAACAGCTGAAAAACCTGAGTTTCTGAGAAAACATGCTAAAATGACTAATTTTACCCCAAAAAATGCGTTTTATAAAACGCACTTTACCAAAATTATTAGCCCCAGTCGAAACTTTTTTGGCAAGTTTTTAGACTCATTGTTGATGGTTAGACGGATTCCAGCACTTCTTCGCATTTTATCGATATTTAGAGGTAGTCATTTTTTTGACCAAAACGACCCTGTCATTTCCTTTTTTTTCTGCCGCTAGCTGCCGACAATTTGAGACTTAGTTCTCTACTCGGTATCCTGAAAATTTTGATCCCATTTACAGGTGTACTCCAGAGTGAGATAATTAGCCTCGGGAAGATCAGGGCACTTTTTCACAAAGTTATGCAAAACTAACCTGGACTAGAACATTACTTGGGGGCTCGGTCAAGAAACCTTAACTCACTATCTTCATTTCGGAAATGGTATTGTCGCTTTCATAAATAAAACTGATCTGAGCGTTTCTGAAAAAATGGCGTTGTCGGGGTTCCAACTCTCTGAAGATATAGAAAAAGCGACTGAGGAGGGCACAGTGTATTCAGTGTCAAAGTTTCAAAAATTGACCTGGTTTAGAGTGGGTAGTACAAGTGACATTGTAGAACGATTATTCAGCTTGGCGGAACACGTGTTCGCGAATTATGATATTAAGATAATTAGTATGATATTATGATAATTATGATATTAATTATCAGAAAGACATCACAAAAATCATGATTAATTCTCAAAATTAATTGAGATTCCGACCAAAATTTGCAGTAAATTTTTGTCGGAATTTCAATTAATTTTGAGAATTAATCATGATTTTTGTTATGTCTTTCTGATAATTAAAATCATCAGTAGGAGTCATTGATTTTTCTTCAAACTGAGAGCAGCTGATAATTTTTCACAAGATTATTTATGATTATCTAGATAATCTGTTTGAGTTTTGGAATAATCGATATGTCTATCTTTATCTAAAGCAGTAGCGTACCGATGGGCGACATCCATTTTTCAGGCGACATACATCTTTATCTAAAGCAGTAGCGTGCCGAGGGGGGACATCCATTTTTCGTTGATTGACCTCAAATTTTTTCTAAAGGCGCCTTGGGCGCCAATATCACTAATTTTGAGGGGGAGCGCGCGTCGAAAAAATCGCAATTTTTCGGTCAAAATTTTCCAAAAAGTGCCTAAAAACGCCATTTTGGTCTGTTTTTTTTTTAAAAGTTGCCTGCGTGTCCTTTGGGTCCTCAAAAAATTTGGCTAGGGTCCTTATAGTTTTGAGAGAGCTCCGAAAATCAAATTGGTCAACCTAAAATTTTTCAAAATTGCAAAAATTTCAAAAATTTTGGAAAAACCACCACCCCCTCTAGAAAAACTTCACTGATCTAAACGTAACAACTACATAAGGTTTTTAGACCATTAAAAAATAAAAAATGAGTCTTGAAAAAGTGAGAAATGAGAGAAATTAGCAGACCAACATAATAAGACGCTTGACTGATTCAAGATGGATATTTGTTTGACAGCCGTAAAATCACGCTCACTTCTGGGTCAAGCTTACTTGTTTTAGACAATTTTCTCACAGCGTTTAAACAAAATTGATAACTTGAGAAACATAACAGACTGATTATTTGGCAAGAAAAAAAAACAGACTTACGCGCCCAATAACCCTCGTTTCGCATAATTTCGCAGCGGAGCAAGCGGTCGCTAGTCGCCATAACTGCGTTTGAAATTAGCGTTCTCACATGAAAATTTTTCTGAATCACTTACAAAATAAGACTGCGAAAAAAACCGCTTTGATAAAATTTCTAGCGTGGGTAGAGTTTTTACCAGACCGACCTTATACCAGACCACAATGCAATAATTCAATTAAGATAAATTTATATTAGTGGAGATTTTGAAAAAAAAAAACAGTTAAAACAAATAAAACTTCGCCAAAAAACCCCGTGAAAACATTGTCTTTAACCAGACTAAAGGCATCATTACATCTGTCAATCAAATTTGTTTATCGAGACTGGTAAAAGGTCCATGTTATAACTTTTCTGATAAAAGGTTGTTCTGGTAAAAAGTTGGTCCTCATCCCTAACACCGGCCGTATACAGACAGTAAAATTAACAACGAATAAAACAAACAAGATATTTTGGCGGGCAATTGACCGAATTAGGCGTTAACCGAATAATTAGTCCACAACTTGCTCACATTCAAATCGAACGAAAACAAGACTAACTGCAGTAATAAATAGTGACTCACTATTCGGCTAATTGTTTTCTTCTAATTGGTTACCTTGCTTCTGATTTGTTTCCTTATATATCTCTCATAAATGCCTATTATATTCACTGTCTGGATCAGACCCGTCTCCTTGTCATTCACCTGTTGCACACAAAAATCTGTAGCCGTTACTACTCATTTTAAAAATTCTGTATAATCGAGTCGTTTTGACGATTCTTGAGTTGGTATCTTTAATTACAGAGAGCCCTAATAGCCAGTGGGAGTCTTACAATAGCCTTATATGGGGGATCTGGTGTCGTGAACATCACTCATCAGCTGCCGAGGAGGTCAGAAGACAAGAACTTCTTCGACAGAAGAAGAGCTACTGTTTCTCCGTTTTTACTTCAAAACTTGTGAGTTTGTGCAATTTTTATACCAGGGTAGTGAATCGCAGAGGCATTTGCAGGATGGGGAGTTTTTAGGAGAAGGAGGAGCGTTTTTGATAACAGAGGCATGTAACTAAGTTTTGATAACAGTTTAAGACGATATTTTCTTTAATACACCTTGGTACAAAGTAAAGAGTATATAAACCCCTACAAAGGACCAACACAACGGTTTAGCACACGTGAGTTTTTTTAGAGCAACATTTTTTTTGTAAAGAAAAGGAAATTTGAGAAATTTTTTTAAAATTGATTAGAGTTTTTCTGGGCTTCAGAGAGAGCTTGACATTTTACTAGCTGCGTATTTAGAAAAATATCAAACATTAAAAAAAACATATTTAGTCGTAATAGTTCTCGTGCACGCCAGTTTGATGTCACAGAAATGTGTTTTTTAGATCGGGGAGCGCACTCAGTCGACTTTATTTAACGAAACCAGAAATAACCACGAAGTGGAAAGCAGTTCAGAATTTTATCAATGTGGTCTCGCTGCCAGAGACAAAACCAGGCGAAACGTGTGTTATTGTGGGGTCTAGTGGAATCATTCTTCTTCATCTACTTTCTTATGTGCAGCGAGGTAGCTCACTTTTTAATCTCTCAACTATTAGCAAAGGGGGATCTCTTTGCAAAGCGGAGTGGGGGGGGGCGAGATTCCTTACTAAGTTTAAATTTCAGACATGCTTAAAGGTTGAATTATTTCCTTACAGGGTGACAATTACTTAGAAGGTACCAAAAGGGGATCTAGTTTAATGAGATCCATTATTTTTTGTTGTCAAGTTCATCAATATATTTCTTGTTCTTTTTTCTCAAATAGTGCCTATTGATTAAAACGGACTGTTTTCATCAACTAGTTTTTATTTGGAAATTACAGTGGTGTACTTTAGGATTAGTTTTAACATTAATCCAGTTTCAGATTATCAATGTCGAGGGGTTTTGTAGGCGACTTTAGTTCGAGCTAAATTCTTTTGTAAGCTTCTGAGAAAACATGCTAAAATGACTAATTTTACCCCAAAAAATGCTTTTTATAAAACGCACTTTACCAAAATTATTAGCCCCAGTCGAAACTTTTTTGGCAAGTTTTTGGACTCATTGTTGATGGTTAGACGGATTCCAGCACTTCTTTGTATTTTATCGATATTTAGAGGTAGTCATTTTTTTGACCAAAACGACCCTGTCATTTCCTTTTCTTTCTACTGCTAGCTGCCGACAATTTGAGACTTAGTTCTCTACTCGGTATCCTGAAAAATTTGATCCCATTTACAGGTGTACTCCAGAGTGAGATAATTAGCCTCGGGAAGATCAGGGCACTTTTTCACAAAGTTATGCAAAACAAACCTGGACTAGAACATTATTTGGGGGCTCGGTCAAGAAACCTTAACTCACTATCTTCATTTCGGAAATGGTATTGTCGCTTTCATAAATGAAACTGATCTGAGCGTTTCTGAAAAAACGGCGTTGTCGGGGTTCCAACTCTCTGAAGATATAGAAAAAGCGACTGAGGAGGGCATATATGCTGAGCAGGCACTGTATTCAGTGTCAAAGTTTCAAAAATTGACCTGGTTTAGAGTGGGTAGTACAAGTGACATTGTAGAACGATAATTCAGCTTGGCGGAACACGTGTTCGCGAATTATGATATTAAGATAATTAGTATGATATTATGATAATTATGATATTAATTATCAGAAAGACATCACAAAAATTATGATTAATTCTCAAAATTAATTGAGATTCCGACCAAAATTTGCAGTAAATTTTTGTCGGAATTTCAATTAATTTGGAGAACTAATCATGATTTTTGTTATGTCTTTCTGATAATTAAAATCATCAGTAGGAGTCATTGATTTTTCTTCAAATTGAGAGCAGCTGATAATTTTTCACAAGATTATTTATGATTATCTAGATAATCTGTTTGAGTTTTGGAATAATCGATATGTCTATCTTTATCTAAAGCAGTAGCGTACCGATGGGCGACATCCATTTTTCAGGCGACATACATCTTTATCTAAAGCAGTAGCGTGCCGAGGGGGGACATCCATTTTTCGTTGAATGACCTCAAATTTTTTCTAAAGGCGCCTTGGGCGCCAATATCACTAATTTTGAGGGGGAGCGCGCGTCGAAAAAATCGCAATTTTTGGTCAAAATTTTCCAAAAAGTGCCTAAAAACGCCATTTTGGGCTGTTTTTTTTAAAAGTTGCCTGCGTGTCCTTTGGGTCCTCAAAAAATTTGGCTAGGGTCCTTATAGTTTTGAGAGAGCTCCGAAAACCAAATTGGTCAACCTAAAATTTTTCAAAATTGCAAAAATTTCAAAAATTTTGGAAAAACCACCACCCCCTCTAGAAAAACTTCACTGATCTAAACGTAACAACTACATTAGGTTTTTAGACCTAAAAAATGAAAAATGAGTCTTGAAAAAGTGAGAAATGAGAGAAATTAGCATAATAACAACATAATAAGACGCTTGACTGATTCAAGATGGATATTTGTTTGACAGCCGTAAAATCACGCTCACTTCTGGGTCAAGCTTACTTGTTTTAGACAATTTTCTCACAGCGTTTAAACAAAACTGATAACTTGAGAAACATAACAGACTGATTATTTGGCAAGAAAAAAAACAGACTTACGCGCCCAATAACCCTCGTTTCGCATAATTTCGCAGCGGAGCAAGCGGTCGCTAGTCGCCATAACTGCGTTTGAAATTAGCGTTCTCACATGAAAATTTTTCTGAATCAGCTACAAAATAAGACTGCGAAAAAAACCGCTTTGATAAAATTTCTAGCGTGGGTAGATTTTTTACCAGACCGACCTTATACCAGACCACAATGCAATAATTCAATTAAGATAAATTTATATTAGTGGAGATTTTGAAAAAAAAACAGTTAAAACAAACAAAACTTCGCCAAAAAACCCCGTGAAAACATTGTCTTTAATCAGACTAAAGGCATCATTACATCTGTCAATCAAATTTGTTTATCGAGACTGGTAAAAGGTCCATGTTATAACTTTTCTGATAAAAGGTCGGTCTGGTAAAAAGTTGGTCCTCATCCCTAACACCGGCCGTATACAGACAGTAAAATTAACAACGAATAAAACAAACAAGATATTTTGGCGGGCAATTGACCGAATTAGGCGTTAACCGAATAATTAGTCCACAACTTGCTCACATTCAAATCGAACGAAAACAAGACTAACTGCTGTAATAAATAGTGACTCACTATTCGGCTAATTGTTTTCTTCTAATTGGTTACCTTGCTTCTGATTTGTTTACTTATATATCTCTCATAAATGCCTATTATATTCACTGTCTGGATCAGACCCGTCTCCTTGTCATTCACCTGTTGCACACAAAAATCTGTAGCCGTTACTACTCATTTTAAAAATTCTGTATAATCGAGTCATTTTGACAAGTCTTGAGTTGGTATCTTTAATTACAGAGAGCCCTAATAGCCAGTGGGAGTCTTACAATAGCCTTATATGGGGGATCTGGTGTCGTGAACATCACTCATCAGCTGCCGAGGAGGTCAGAAGACAAGAACTTCTTCGACAGAAGAAGAGCTACTGTTTCTCCGTTTTTACTTCAAAACTTGTGAGTTTGTGCAATGTTTATACCAGGGTAGTGAATCGCAGAGCCATTTGCAGGATGGGGAGTTTTTAGGAGAAGGAGGAGCGTTTTTAGCAGGGACGGGGGTTTTTAGGAAGAGGCATGTAACTAAGTTTTGATAACAGTTTAAGACGATGTTTTCTTTATTACACCTTGGTAAAAAGTAAAGAGTATATAAACCCCTACAAAGGACCAACTCAACGGTTTAGCACACGTGAGTTTTTTAGAGCAACGATTTTTTGTTAAGAAAAAGGAAATTTGAGAATTTTTTTTAATTGATTATAGTTTTTCTGGGCTTCAGAGAGAGCTTGACATTTTACTAGCTGCGTATTTAGAAAAAGATCAAACATTAAAAAAAAACATATTTAGTCGTAATAGTTCTCGTGCACGCCAGTTTGATGTCACAGAAAATATGTTTTTTAGATCGGGGAGCTCACTCAGTCGACTTTATTTAACGAAACCAGAAATAACCACGAAGTGGAAAGCAGTTCAGAATTTTATCAAAGTGGTCTCGCTGCCAGAGACAAAACCAGGCGAAACGTGTGTTATTGTGGGGTCTAGTGGAATCATTCTTCGCTACCCGGAATTGGGAGCCAAAATAGGGGAGCCACTCATGCTAATAAAACGGCTGTAACAATATGTATTTCCTACAAAATGAACAAAAACACAAAAAAAGGTTATAAAAGGGTCAGATTTAGGAATTTCTCGAGTGGAGATTCTCTCAAACAATTTTCAAAAATGTTGTAGACTTTTTAAGGTTGACCCAATGGATTTTCTGAAATCTCACTAACGTTAGAAACTTTATCTAATTTAATTTGGCAAAAATTTCTGCGCTGCAGGTAACTGTATTTTAAAAAAAAACTGTATTTAAAAAAAATTAAAATTGTTTTGGAAATTTTTGGGAAGGTTTTGATGAAAAAATTTCATTTTTTTTGTCGTGTGCTTCCCCTCAAATTTGGTATCTATACTAATCCTGAAGGCGTTTTTTTAATGTTTTGGGTGTGGTCAACCAATAGTTTTGTGTTCCTTTGCGATCTAGTTAAGTTAAATTTCTCCACTCTGAATTGGATGTTTTGACAGGAAATAAAATCGTGTTTTTTTCGGCATATGCTCCCCTCAATTTTAGTAATAATTTCGAGGTTGGTCAAACAAAAATGGGATATTGTGAAATGGTACCAATGAGGGGACACTTCAGGTGATCGAATCCTCGAGGAAGGAGGGAACGCCCCTAACACTCTGTTTGGCCTGGCCTGTCCGTTAACCTCGACTGCCACTTAAAAGGTCTCGAAGAGTTATTGGTAAATAAAACTTGGGTAAAAGTATGATTGTGGTGTCCTAAGAAACTATCAAGGCCCTTAACTTAAATATAGAGCCTATGCTTTCGTTCCGGCGATGTCAATTAAAGCATCAAATAAATTAGTGCTGAAGTAGCATGATAAAAACATGAGGAAACAAGGATAGCCGGTTGCTGTGCAATTAGCACAGAATGTTCCGACCAGGTTTTCAGAATGTTTCTCTTAAAGTTAGTGTCTTTTTGTACGTCGTGTGATAATACCACTATATGAAAAATTTTTTTAAACGAAGATTTATAACTAGGTTATAAACGAACGCAAGGGTCTTCAAAAACTAAATGAAAACAAGGGTAGCCGGTTACTGTGCAAGTAGCTCCGAATGTTCCGACCAACCAATTTTTTTTCAAATTAGTGTAGTTTTTTCTGCTTTGTGTGATAAAAGGATCTGACGTAAAAAAAAATAATTTAGGCATAGTAGACAGTCGTAGTAATTTTAGGCAATATGAACAAAAATTTTTGTCGAAAAAAGACACGAAAAACTATAGAAAACTAAAGAAGTTTATGAAACTTTTTTTTTCAAATTTTTTACAGAAAATCGTTGTTCAGAAAAGTTTTTGAAGT